TCCTGGCCCCATTACCACGTGGACCTTCCTGGACCATTAAACGTGAGGCCATCCGGGAAACCATTCCCACGTACCATCCTCCCCTTTCCCACGGGAAACCATCCTGGACCATTCCCAGGGTGCCCACCCGGACCATTACACGTGGACCATCCTGGCCCCTTTAAACCACGGGGAACCATCCTGGCCCCATTACCACGGGGAAATCCTGGACCTTTAACCACGTGCCCAAATCCTGACCATTACCACGGGGAAAACCTGGCCCCATTCCACGGACCACCTACCATTACCACGGGGGACCATCCTGGACCTTTACCACTTTGGCCCAAATCCGGGACCATTCCCACGTGGACCTTTCCTGGACCATTCCCAACGTTGCCCCCCGGACCTTTTTCCCCAAAGGAAAACCACCCCGGGACCATTACCACGTTGGAAACCATCCGGGACCATTCCCACGGGGACCAACCCTGGACCATTACCACGGGGACCATCCTGGACCATTCCCAAAACTGGACCATCCGGGAAACCTTTACCACGGGGGAACCATCCGGGACCTTTACCACGGGGAAAACCACCCTTTGGAACCATTACCACTGGACCATCCTGGACCATTACCAGTGACCACCCTTTGGACCTTACCACGGACCATCCTGGACCATTCCCCCAACGGGGGACCATCCGGACCTTCCCACGGGGAAATCCGGGACCATTACCACGGGAAAACCACCTGGCCATTCCCAAAGTGGAAATCCTGGACCATTCCCCACGTGGCCCACCCGGGGGGACCATTCCCAAAGGGAAAAACCTTCCTGGACCATTACCCCGGGGCCCCCCCCTTTGGACCATTCCCAAACGAAAAACCTTTTACCCACGGGGGACTCCCCCGGGCCCTTTCCCCCAACTTTGGGACCATTACCCCCGTGGCCCAAACCCTGGCCCCTTTAAACCACTGGACCATCCGGGCCCCATTACCACGTGGCCCAACCCGGACCATTCCCCACGTGGACCATCCTGGCCCCCTTTTACCACTTTAAACCCCCCCTTGGGAAACCATTCCCCACGTGGACCATCCGGGACCTTTTCCACGGGGACCATCCTGGACCTTTTACCAGGGGGAAACCATCCTGACCAAAAACCACGTGGAACCAAACCTGGACCTTTACCACTGGACCTTTCCGGGAAACCATTCCCCACGTGGACCCCCCCTGGACCATTACCACGGGACCTTTCCGGCCATTACCACGGGGACCACCCTTTGGACCATTACCACGGGCCCTTTCCTGACCATTCCAAAATTGGCCCAAACCTGGCCATTAAAAACGTGGCCCAAACCCGGGACCATTACCACGGGGGACCTTTCCGGGGACCATACCCCCTGGACCATCCGGGGACCTTTAAACCAACCTTTGGGTGGGGAAAAAGGGGAAAAAAAAACCCACCTAAACCAAATTCCCAAACGGGGACCACCTGGACCAAAAACCATTTGGCCCATCCTGGCCCATTCCCAAAACTGGCCCCATCCTTTTAAAAACCTTTACCAGGGTTTGCCCCATCCGGGCCCCATTCCCCCTGGTCCTTTTACGGGACCTTTTACCACGGGGACCATTTTTGGACTTTTTACCACGGGGACCCTCCTGGACCATTACCATGGGGACCATACGGGCCCAAATTACCTTTGGGGACCAAATTCCCCGCGGGGACCAAAACGGGACCATTACCACTAAACATCCTGGACCATTACCACTGGACCACCCCGGAAACCAAATTACCACGTGGACCACCTGGACCGTTCCCCGGGGCCCAAACCGGGCCCAAATTACCACTTTGGACCATCCGGACCATTACCACGGGGACCATCCGGGCCCAAATACCACGGGGAAACCCATCCGGAAACCCATTCCCAAACGTGGACCACCCGGAACCATTACCCACGTGGACCAACGGGACCACCCTTTGGCCATTAAAAAACGGGGGAAACCTTTACTGGCCCAAATACCGGGACCTTTAAACCACGTGGACCATACGGGACCATTACCACTTTGGCCCAAATCCGGGGTTTTTTTTAAAAAAAACCACGTGGCCATACGGGAACCTTTAAACCACATGGACCATCCGGACCTTTTACCAAAAGGAACTACCCCTGACCTTTACAGGACCCTTTACCACTGTCCCAAATCCTGGACCATTACCACGTGGCCCAAACCTGGACCATTACCACTTTCCCCATACTGGACCATTACCACTTGGACCATCCGGGCCCATTCCCAAACGTGAACCATACTGGACAAATTACCACGTGGACCCCATCCGGGACCATCCCCACGGGCCCTTTCCGGGGCCCAAATTACCACGGGAAACCATCGGGCCCAAATTCCCAAACGGGGCCCCATCCTGGACCATTCCCAAACGGGGGACATACGGGACCTTTTACCACGGGGGAATTTATTTTTTGGGGACCATTCCCAAAGTGGACCATCCGGGACCATTACCCCCGGGGAAACCTTTACCACGGGGACCATACTGGCCCATTCCCAAACCCGTGGACCAAACGACCTTTACCACTGGCCCAATACGGGGCCCAAAACCACGTGGACCTTTCCTTTTAAACCATTACCACGGGGACCATACGGGAAACCATTACCACATGGCCCAAACCCGGGAACCTTTTAACCACAGGGGACCATCCGGCCCTTTTACCACAGGGACCATCCTGGCCCTTTTAAACCACATGGACCCATTACGACGGGGAACCCACCCCTTACCATCCCCACGGGGAAAACATCAGCAAATTAACTGTGGGAGACATCCCCCTAAAAACCTCCCCACCCTATAAAAACCCTTGTGTTTTTTGGCTATTATAAACCCTTTTCAATGCTTTATTTTTCTTTAAAATACACCAACAAAAAAGTTGGTGACGTCAAAAGGTAACTGTTTGAAAAGCTTTTGGTGACGTCACTTCCTTTTCCATTTTTTTCTCGTCTCGGGGGACTTTAATTTAAATTACTGGGGGTTGCTAAAATTCTTGTGGGATTGCGTACCCTTTGGGGGTTAGAGCGTCATCTTTTTTTCCCCCCCCAAAATGGTGGGGGCCCAAAACCAATGATTCGACCCCTTGGCTACCCGCGTTTGTTATTGCCCAAATTCCCAAACTCTTTCATGGTATATATAAATATAAAATTATAAATATAATATATAAAATATTATATATATATATATATATATATATTTTGAAACCCAAACCTTGGAAAAAGGAAAAAAAAACCCAAGGGGGGGAGTTGATACCGAAAGGAAAATTTTCGTCTTCACTCAAAAACATTATCAAAAGCTTGCAATTTTTGCAGGAAAGAGATAAAATCCGGGGAAACACATTCAGAGTAACGTGGGGGGAAAAATTTTAAACCCACAATACACAAAAACCCCCGGGGCTAGGCATCACTGGGAACAGGGGTTTCATATTTCTCACTGTTCCTCCATCACACTAAAAACAACAGCAGAAATCTGGGAACAAGCAGAAAAATTTTATCATTTGCCTAAACAAACAATGCGCACCTGAAAATTTCCCAAAATTTTGGCGGGCAAATCTCTTTTTGGGGGAAATTTTTAAGGCCCAAAATTTCCCAAAAATTTGGCGGGAAGAATCACAGCTGTTAGGGAGAGGCGGTGTCCGAATGCGATGTGTGCGACCCTGCATGCCTGACTATATATGTGTCTTGATATATCATTGCCTCTATTTTCAGCCTCGAGGACAGAACCTGCAGCCAAAAACACTTCAGTAGAGCCTCCTCCCAGGCTTATGTAAAGTCCATTATTATTATTATTATTATTATTATTATTATTGGTGGTTGTAGCAGTAGTAGTAGTAGTATAATTATTAGTTATATATATATATATATATATATATTATATATATATATATATATATATATTATATATATATATATATATATATTATATATATATATATATATATATATATATTTTATATATATATAGGCCTTTCGTTTAACCGAAAACTTCATCAGGAGCTAAGAGGTGAGATAAATATGTTCAAATAGACAATATATTCTTTTTCAAGCATAGTCTTATCTTTTAACTCAACTACTTATGAAAATACGTATTTCCCATTTCGACCCTATTACCTGATCTCTTAGCTCCTGACGAGGGTTTCATTCGGGAAGCGAAAGGCCTCAAATCCTATTTCTATCCCCAGTGGTTTATATATATTGAAGAAATATCTGTCCGTGATCACCAACACAAATGTTATGTATTTGAAGCTGTGATGAAATATGAAGGAAATTCAAGATATGATGGCTGGGAGCTCACACTCCGAGGGTCCAGAGTTCGATCGCCGGTACGAGTGAAACGTTGGGTATATTTCCTTACACCTGTTTACCTAGTAGTAAGTAGGTATCTGGGTTTTAGTCACCTTACGCTTGCTGTCACTGTTCACCTAGCAGTAAGTAGGTACCTCGGAGCTACCCGACTGTTGTGGGTCGCATCCTGGGGTACATTGTCACCTAGGTCTGCACCGTGTACTGGTAGAAATAAAGATCATTATTACTATTATTTAAGGATAAATTAGGCACCAGGCACCTAAAGTCAGTACCTCACCAACCGGGCTGTAGTTCGTACGTTGGTTTACGTGTGGCCAGCAGTAACAGCCTGGTTGGTCAGGCCCTGATCCACCACCAAGCCTGGTCATGGACCGGGCTGCGGGGAAACTGACCCCCGAAAACACTCTCCAGGTATTCTCTAGGTAGACTCTAGGTATACTCTAGGTATACTCCAGGTATACTTCAGATATTATCCAGGTATACTCTAGGTATACTCCAGGTATACTTCAGATATTATCCAGGTATACTCTAGGTATACTCCAGGTATACTTCAGATATTATCCAGGTATACTCTAGGTATAGTCCAGGTATCCTCTAGGTAGACTTCACGTTTACTTCTGGTACACTCCAAGTATTCTCCAAGTAGATTCCAGGTATACTCTAGGTATGCTCCAGGTATTCTCCAGGTATACTCCAGGTGGTTGAGTGTGGGTCATACGTAGTGTGAGTGTTATCGTTAATGTTTCCTTATCCAGGCACAAGATGGCGCGGGGCGTTCATGAAGGAGGTCGCAGCTCCAGACTCAGGTGAGTAACACTGATCAGTGTCGTTCATGAAGGAGGTCGCAGCTCCAGACTCAGGTGAGTAACACTGATCAGTGTCGTTCATGAAGGAGGTCGCAGCTCCAGACTCAGGTGAGTAACACTGATCAGGTCGTTCATGAAGGAGGTCGCAGCTCCAGACTCAGGTGAGTAACACTGATCAGTGTCGTTCATGAAGGAGGTCGCAGCTCCAGACTCAGGTGAGTAACACTGATCAGTGTCGTTCATGAAGGAGGTCGCAGCTCCAGACTCAGTGAGTAACACTGATCAGTGTCGTTCATGAAGGAGGTTGCAGCTCCAGACTCAGTGAGTAACACTGATCAGTGTCGTTCATGAAGGAGGTCGCAGCTCCAGACTCAGGTGAGTAACACTGATCAGTGTCGTTCATGAAGGAGGTCGCAGCTCCAGACTCAGGTGAGTAACACTGATCAGTGTCGTTCATGAAGGAGGTCGCAGCTCCAGACTCAGGTGAGTAACACTCAGTGTCGTTCATGAAGGAGGTCGCAACTCCAGACTCAGGTGAGTAACACTGATCAGTGTCGTTCATGAAGGAGGTCGCAGCTCCAGACTCAGGTGAGTAACACTGATCAGTGTCGTTCATGAAGGAGGTCGCAGCTCCAGACTCAGGTGAGTAACACTGATCAGTGTCGTTCATGAAGGAGGTCGCAGCTCCAGACTCAGGTGAGTAACACTGATCAGTGTCGTTCATGAAGGAGGTCGCAGCTCCAGACTCAGGTGAGTAACACTGATCAGAGTCGTTCATGAAGGAGGTCGCAGCTCCAGACTCAGGTGAGTAACACTGATCAGAGTCGTTCATGAAGGAGGTCGCAGCTCCAGACTCAGGTGAGTAACACTCAGTGATTCACTTCCGCTTCACCGCCTCTACATCAACAAATATAATTCTTATGTTTTCCCTACGAGTTACAGAACTTGATAAGCGCTACTTACTAAGTTCTGGAAAGTTTTAGGTGGACAAAGTTCCTTTGTTAAATAGCTTATAACGTAATGCACACCGTCCACTATGACACAATAGTTCTCAGATAGTCACAGGACTATGACTATCGTCTGTAAAAACTTGCATTTGTGGTCACAGAGGTGCCTGTGCTAACTTTCCTATGGTGTAGAAATATACCTAGTTGGATGAATCTTATTGTGGCTAGCTGGTCTAGTGGCTAGCGCGACGGGCTGGAGTTTTGAGACTCTATGACCGCGGGTTCAATCCCGGCCGGGGGTATGGTTTACTATGACTATTATATTTCACCTTCATCTGCTGAAGAGGACCTCGGGTGAGAACCTGACTGTAACCCTTCTATTACCCACCATATTTACATCTAATTCCACGATATTGGTTATAAATATGACCATAATTTTTAAAGGGGTGGACCGGTAAGCCAGCGGAAGGCCTCGGTCAGATGACCAAAAGCTCCAGGAAACTCTTGTCCTGTTTCCTGACGAACCTTACCTAACCTAACCTATTCCCACGTGGGACAGTATATTACATCTATTTTCGTGTTTACCAGGCTGTTGTTACCTCAAAATAACATCCTCTCACACCAAGGTTAGCATAATTTTCATTTATCTATTTTTTTCTAATCTACATAACCAAAAATATAAAAAAAATCGTGTTTCTGGAAGTAAGAGCGGAGGTGGACACACCCAAGATGCTGGTTGAACGCTATCCTCACTCATGTGTCTGGCTATTCTGTAATTCGTGGGAAAACGTACGTTTTTTTGGTATTCAAGTTGAAGACTTTATCTTAATTGGGATATTAAACCAGCTATGCCAAATTAACCATCTAATATTTCATGTTACGACGTGTTTGTACGTGTGTGTTAGATACCAGTTGTCAAAAGACACTTGTCGATAGACACTTAGCCTGATAAGTAACATATATTTTTTTGTATGTGAGAGTATTTGCTTGTGTATGTTATTTTCCCCCAGCAACTTAACACACCCGTCATATCATAGACTGTGTTAGCTACATCACTCTCAGGGCTCTTGTAAACTATGTCAGTTCCGTAAATAGTATATAAAATGCAGTGACAACGTGATTTACTGTCAGTGACACATTTAAAGTCATTTATTTGTTATCATGTTGACCAATACTGCGTAATCTGTAGACCAGAGATGGTATAAGCTGACTGCAATCTCCCTCTCCCATTACAATAATTAACAATAAGAATTAACAACGATAATAATAATAATAATAACAATAATACTTACGATAAGGAGGAACAATGCAGCAGGCCTACTGGCCCATGCTAGGCAGGTTCTTCTCAAACCCAAACCCGCTGTAATTGCCTGGTTGATCAGGCTCTGATCCACCATGAGGCCTGGCCACAGACCTGGTCGCGGGGGCGTTGATCCCCGAAATCCCTCTCTAGGTAAACACTGACAAAAACATTCACCCAACCCCTTATCAACGTTTTATCAATAATATAAGCATTTTATAAGTCTTACTGATGTGTCTTGCTTCGCAGCTGTGGACCAGCAACCCATGCAAGAACCGAAGCTAGAACCGAAGTGGAAGCCAAGGCTGGACTCCAGGTGGAAACCGAAGGTGGAAATGAAACCGGAGCCGAAGCCAGAAGAGAAGTTGAAACCGAGGGTGGAATCCAGGTGGAAACCGAAGGTGGAAATGAAGCCGGAGCCGAAGCCAGAAGAAAAGTTGAAACCAAGACTGGAATCCAGGTGGAAACCGAAGGTGGAAACGAAGCCAGAACTGAAAGCAGAGACGAAGCCGGAACTGAAACCAGAGGCAAAGTTGGAACTGAAACCAGAATCGAAGCCAGAAGAGTTGAAACCAAAACTGGAATCCAGGTGGAAACCAAAGGTGGAATCAAAACCAGAACCAAAACCAGAACAGAAGCCGGAGCCGCGATGGAAACCAAGGCCAGACCTGAAGTCAGAACCAGAACCGGAACTAACCCCAAAACCAAAGTGGAAATCAAAACCGGAGCCAAAATCGGAACCGAAACCAGAACCGATGCCGGAGCCGGAGCCGGAACCGGAGACTACAGCCGAAGATGACGCTAGCAGCGACCTCCTGTGTCCGTTATGCTCGGAGTTATACGACGACGAGCAGCGGGAACCCGTCCTCCTCCCGCGGTGTGGACACACCTTCTGCAGGCCCTGTCTCTCCAAGGACGTGAAGAAGGGCCACTTCCCGTGCCCCACCTGCAGGAAGCGTCACCTCAAGCCCACTGTCGACCAGCTCCCTGTGCAAGCTGACCTCCTGGCCAGAGCAGAGGCCTTCAGGGAGTCCAAGGTTAGCAATTACACTGCTTGATGGCTTGCAAAGACCTTGGATGTAAGTTTATTTAGGCATAGGTACACATAAGCACAATTATCATACAGTGTAAATTACCTAGGATAACCCAGAAAAAAAAGGCAAAGATAATTATTTCCACTGGGGTCCTGTTTTGGCCGGATTCATTTCCGTTGAGAATTAAATCTGAACTCACCGTTTTCCAACATATAAAAAATGGTTATAACTTTGACCATAATTTTTAAAGGGGTGGACCGGTAAGCCAGCGGAAGGCCTCGGTCAGATGACCAAAAGTTTCAACAGCGGGTCATTATCTAAGACCCGCGTCAGTAAACATGTATCCTGTTTCCTGACGAACCTTACCTAACCTAACCGATCTCCACGCCTAGTGAAGGGGTGGGGGGAAGAAAAATTTGGTTTATTGTTTGAAATGCTATATATATTTCGTTAGTTAGTTTAATATGTTTATTATGCACCCCATACCCATCCTGTGGGCGGTAGTCAAAAGATTACAGAGGTACATAATTGGTCCAGGGACTGGGCCTCAAAGTTTTGATGGCTGAGCAAGTTACAGAGGTAATGAATTCACAATTTACAAAGGTAAATTACTCACAATTTTTTACAAAGGTAATGAACTCCAGGTAGGTCTAGTCACAATCATGACAAGTACAAAAGGTATTTACAGATTACAGATGTACACAATGGGTCCAGGGACCGGGCTCCAAAAGTTTTGGATTGGCTGGAACTAGGTACCTTGAGTTTACCTGGAAGAGTTCGGGGGTCAACGCCCCGCGGCCCGGTCTGTGACCTAGGCCCTCCTGGTGGATCAGCGCCTGAACCAACCAGGCGTTGCTGCTGGCTGCACGCAAACCAACGTACGAGGCCACAGCCGCGGCTTTTTTGATCAGGACTGCCTTTAGGTGCTTGTGCCAGTGCCAGCTTGAAGACTGCAGGGTTCCTGTTGGTAATCCCCCCTTATGTGTGCTGGGAGGCAGTTGAACAGTCTCGGTCACCCTGACACTTATTGTATTGGGTCTCTTTACGTGCTAGTGACACCCTGCTTTTCATTGGGGGGATGTGCATCGTCTGCTTCAAGTCCTTTTTGCTTTCGTAGTGAGTGATTTTCGTGTGCAAGTTCGGTACTTAGTCCCCACTAGGAATTTTTCCATTTGTATAAAATCATGTATGCTCACCGTCCTGCGTTCCAGGGAATACAGGTTTAGGAACCTCAATGCGCTCCCATTAAATTGAGGTGTTTTTATCTCCGTTATGCGCGCCGTGAAAGTTCTCTTAAACATTTTCTAGGTCGTCAATTTCACCTGCCTTGAAAGGTGTTGGTGTTAGAGTGCAGCAATATTCCAGCCTATATAGAACTAGTGACCTGGAAGAGTGCATCATGGCCTTGGCCTCGCCTTAGTTTTGAAGGTTCTCATTAACCATCCTGTCATTTTTTCAAGACAGATGCGAATTGATACAATGTTCTGGTCCTTGAAGGAGAGATCCCATCCGACATAATCACTCCCAGTCCTTTGACGTTGGGTGTTTCGCTCTATTTTGTGGCCAGAATTTGTTTTGTACTCTGATGAAGATTTAATTTCCTCATGTTTTACCATATCTGGTAATTGGAAAATTTCTTTCTCATCGTTGAACTTCATATAGTTTTCTGCAGCCCACTGAAAGATTTTTGGTTGCTGTCCGCCTGGAGCCTCGCAGTGTCTGCAATGAAGACACTGTCATGCAGATTCGGGTGTCATCTGCAAAAGGTAAGACACGGTCCTGTGCTGAACCATCCTTGTACTATGTCGGATATGAGGATGAGACAAGATGGGAGCTAGTACTGTGCCTTGTGGAACAGAGTTTTCACCGTACTGCCCGGACTTTACTCTGTTGACGACTACTCCTCTGTGATCTGTTAGTGAGGAAGATTATAGAATCCATCGACCAACTTTTCCTGTTAATTCCTTTAGCGCGCATTTTGTGCGCTAATTACTGCCAGGTCGACACTTGTCGAAGGCTTTTTGCAAAGTCTGTATATATTAACATCTGAGTCCCCTTTTTGTCTTCTAGTGCATTTAGGACCTTGTCGTAGTGATCCAGTAGTGAACAGACAGGAGCGACCTGTTCAAACCCATGTTGCCCCTGGGTTTGTGTATCTGATGGGTTTCTAGATGGGTGGTGATCTTGCTTCTTAGGACCCTTTCAAAGATTTTAATGATATGGGATGTTATGCTATTGTTGTATTTCTTGTGCTGTTTGCAAGTTCAAAGTAATGAACCACCAAAGTTACAAAGGGAAATGAATACTGTAAGAATGGTTACATTACGTTATACATGGCTACAATCATGAACAATTTTAGAGTAATGAGTCAATTACACTTCCACACCTCGGTCACAACTGTAAGTGAGTTATTGGTGCCAAATATTTATTGTTTGGATGTCCACACACACACACACATACACACAGCCATAGTCAGTCATAGAGTAGTCCAGGCCATGGAATAGCCTAGAAGTGATGTGTTAGGAGGCAGGAACCATACATAGATTTTTAAGGCGAGGTATGATAGAGCTCATGGGGCTAGGGAGAGAGAGGACCAGTAGCAATTAGACGAAGAGGCGGGTGGCCAGGAGCTGAGACCGACCCCTGCAACCACAAATAAGGTGAGTATCATACTAGGTGAGTACAGCCCCACACATCCACACACACACAAAAACACACACACACACACACACACCCATAAACACACATCACGACACACACAGCACACACATACACAAACCAGCACCACACACACACACACCATACACACTCACCACACACACTCATACACAACACCCGCACTAACACAAACACACAAACACAAACCACACATTCACACAACACACACAGGAGCTTGGACTCGACCCCTGCAATCTCAACTAGGTGAGTGCACACACACACACACAACACACACACACCACACACACACACACACAACACACACACACACACACACACACACACAAACCACACACGTGCCATAGACACAACGAGGCCTAGTGTCCCTAATGGACATGTGCTTAGGACAAAATGGTAACTAACAAACACACACACACACACACACACACACACACACACTCACACACACACACACACACATACACATACACATACACACCCACGACACAACACACACAACACAGCACACACACACACACACACACACACACACACACAGGAAAAGAGACAAGGAGGGAAACCAACAGAGGTCAGTCAGAGCAGAACAGAACAGGGCAGGGCAAGCACACACACAACTACTCTCAGACATACAACCTATCACACCATACCCAACACACACAAATCCATACCTCACAGCCTCCACCCAACACCGAGCTATAGAATCACAGTATGCCACCAGGTCTCCCAACCCTCACAGGCCCCCCCAAACCACAGTGTTGGAAAGGAAACTGAAGGTATGGTACACAAACGCTGATGGAATAACAAATAAGTGGAGGATGGCCATGAAAGAGTCAAATAAGGCTCCACCGACATTATAGCTCCACAGAAACCAGCTTACAGGTATGATAACGGATGCCATCTTTCAATGGGATACCAAATCCTGCCCTGAGAAAGAACAGAGACAAGGGGGGGTGGAGGAGTGGCGTTGCTGATCAAAAATCGCTTGGAATTTTGATGAGCTGGAGAGAGGAGGACAAAGCGGAGAAGAAAGTGATTACAATAGTGGGAACACTTCACTCTATCTGGGACGGTCCCCAAGGTGGTAATAGCATGATGTATAACCCACACGAAACAGCATGAGGCCCAAGGCAAGAGTAACGACGAGAGCAATAGAGCGATGGTTTGACACACTGGCTAGAGTGGCCAGAAAGAGCTCATGCATGCAGGCAAAGCTTTCGCTGATCATGGAGACTTTAACGCACAAGAGATTCGATTGGTAAGAACTTGTGACCCACATGGGGCCAAGATATCATGGAGGGCTAAGAATGATGGAGGAGGTACTGAGTAAAACTTCATGTGCCAACACATAAGGGACCTACAAGAGAGAGAGTAGAGGAAGAACCAAGCAAGGCTGGACTAGTTATTCACCTTGAGTAGTGCAGATAATCGAGGGACAACACAATATGGAAAGACCCCTTTGGGCCAGTGACCCTATGTGGTTTTAAAGCTTCGAATACACAGTAGAGCTACAAATGGAGGGAGAAGCCAGGAATGCCAGGACGAATGAAGCCAAACTACAAGACAGGGGACTACACAGGAAGAGGAACTAACCTGAACGGGGTTTACAGTGGGGACAGAGAACTGGGGCTGGGAAGCCATGTTAAGAGAATGAATGGAATATGTTAGCAACAAAATGGCAAGGAGGCTGAGTGAGAGGTTTGTACCCAAGGGTAACAGGATTAATGAACAAGCCAATGAGCCCATGGTTACCCAAAGGTCGCAGGGAGGCAAAAACCAAGTGTGGCTAGGAATGGAAGAAATATAGAAGGCAAAGGACCCAGGAGAATAAGGAGAACAGTCGTAGAGCCAGAACGAATGATGCACAGATAAGAAGGGAGGCCCAAAGACAAGTATGAAGACTGACATAGCACGAAAGCCAAATCTGACCCCGAAACTGTTTTACAAGCCACATCAGGAGGAAAAACAACAGTTCAAGGAAACAGAGTATCGGCTAAGGAAGGAAAGGAGGATAGACAACACAAGAATGACCATGTAAAACGTAAGTGAAGAACTCAACAAGAGATTCAAAGAAGTGTTCACAGAGGAGACATAAGGGACCTCCAGAAAGAACGGAGAGGTGGGGCACAGCACCACCAAGGTGCTGGACACAGTGCACACAACCGAGGAAGAAATGAAGAGGCCTTCTGATGAGCTAGATACCTCTAAAGGCAATGGGGCCAGATAACATCTCCCCATGGGTATTGAAGAGGGGAGCAGAGGCGGCTATGTGTACCCCTATCAACAATATTCAATACATCTATCGAAACAGGGAGATTGCCTGAGGCATGGAAGACAGCAAATGTAGTCCCCCAATCTTAAAA